GTGATTAAGGGATGGGACATTATCTCCGTCGCTTTTGTCCCCGACTGTCCTTGTTTTGTGGTCTGCGGTTGGAATTTTATGAAGATTGTTTTCATTATAACCTTTATTTTTAATGCTGTAAAGTGCATTTTAAGTATTGCGCAGAGTTCCTTATACATTATGTATTGAGTTACGCAAACTCAATACCGTTGCCTAGACGAAAGCTGATCTTTCTCGGTGACATCACGAGAGAACGTAAAGGATTATCGAATGACAATATACATTTTTTACGTTAGTACGTAAAGTATTTATGCGAGGGCATTCAAAGAGATCCGATGCTTTTAGATTAGGATGCTATTAAATTGCGCATGCGTCTTTTGTCATGACATATGGCGTTCACTAGCAGATGGCTCTTTTGTTAGTCTTGTGAACGGTAGTTCAAGTAAAGCTGAGATATCTAACATACGATGCTTTAGAGGATTTTGTCATACAAATCTAATCATATCGTAAACGACCCATACACATACAAACAGGCGCTAAATGCAATTGTTGTTATATATAGTAATAATCTGTTTTTGTTAAATTATAAGTATATGTTATTATTGTTGTTAAAGTCGTCATCTATCAATCTCTCCAGGCTCCACTGAAAATCAGTAATCGCAAAAATTTTTTCTCTTTTTTTGCGATGTAATGTTGAGTGGTGACCTTTTTGGTACATTGACTTCAAGCTGTGATCTCTAAATTTTAATTGTTATTTTTATTTTATGTTTTGTTTGTTATTTACCAAATAAATATTTCTTTCTTTCTTTCTTTCCATAACTCTACGGTATATGATTGAACTATAGATATGGTACATTTTTTTTGGTTCTGTCCTGGATACTAAGTTTTATTAATTACTTTTGTTTTAAGATAGTCTCCACTGGTTAAACTTAATCAGTGGAGACCTGTAAATTGCAATCTAATCGACTCAATGAACACCTTTTTAAATTGTAAGCCCCGAGGTAGTTGGTCAAAAGCCGAGACAGATATCTAGCCTTTGAGTGGTGAGAAGTACTTTTGAAAGTTATTTTAAATCAAGTTTTATTTTTTCAAATTTGTCACTGTACAACTCTGCTTTGAAGACGATGGGTTATCTCATTTTATATAGTAAAGGGCCAAGAAACACTACAGCGAAAAGCAATGATAGTCCAGGATTATATCTACCGTCGAAGGTCGTAAGATTGAATCATGGTGGCGTATACCCATGATTTCTTTATTTTTTTACATCTCTTGTATTGCTAAAATTATTCTATATGATTTGTATGGAAATGTTTGGAGGCGTTTTGAGACTAAAATAAGAAGTAAAATAAAACGACAATAATATCAATTACAAGCCAGGGCATATATTTACGAAACGTAATGTATATCTATTCACCACAACAGTTAAGTTAAAAGACATGTGACTTGCTTCTTTTAGACACAAAAGACATAAAAATACAAATATTTCATGGAAACATGGTGATTTTTAAGTTTATGCGAGTAATAAGTAAAGAAGTTATCCATGAACAGCAAAGAAGTAATTAACGAAGATAATGAGGGCTCATTGTTTGTGCTAAAATGTTTTGTGTCGTATATGCATTACATATATGTATTTAGAGGTATTTAGCACGTTTCATTAGTTGTCGAGCTTTTGATGTGCTTTGATTTATTATTTCAAAGTTAATTAACGTAATAATCTCCATGTATTCTTCACGTATTACACTTTCGCTTTTATGGTTGTCAATGAATCCGCAAAACCCTCAAGTGTTGTTGATCTCCGTTGGCGGTGGTAACCACTCAACATCAGGTGTACCGTTAGCTCGCTTGACAACCTTTCAAATAAAATTAAATGTACCATTGCTGGACGATGTATGGGGTATGGTTGCTTTTCTTGCCACATCCCTATTATTTTTCGAGTGTCAATGTCTGTACTTATTGTTTATAATTTTTCTCAAAAGTCCTGGTTTTGATTGTGTACGTGAAGTTAGGTAATTGCTCCACCGATAGTGATGTTTTGGATATCTTGATATACATCTGGTTTTATTTTTTACAAAATATTGTATGATTATATCATATATATATAGACCATTGGACCTAGTCGACGTAATAATGGTTTGAGCATTAAGGATAAATAACAGCGATGAATACTAACAGAAAACATATTTTTTTTTCTATTTTTGTAAACACATCTCAGGATTTGTACTGTGTTTTGACTTCAATTGAAATTACCAAAAAGTTTTTTTTTTTTTACTGGCCAGCACTTGACTGCCATCCCACCTGATGGTAAGTGGCGATGCAGCCTTTGATGGTAAGCGTGCTAGCTCAGTCAAAACCTATTCACTCTTGCCTTGAAGACGCCTACGTTGTAATCGGACTGAAAGACGGACGCCGGCAGGTTGGTTCGTAATCAACTACTTTTACAGAAAATGTTTTGATCATATAACACGATTGTTCACGATTTTACTGGGGACTTTTAAAATTAGACCCTCAGTTAGTAAATTTTCAACTTTGGCACATGCTTGCGGGGCCGTAATTACTATTCAAACATACCATCAAAACTAAATTTTATTCCAGATAATACTATCTGCGTTCCTATCCCTTTTAAACAATAAAGTAAGTTAAATTGTAAAACTAATTCCATTATCCCATCCTTATCCTCTGTGGTAATTTTCACGCGGACTGGCACACATATGTATGTATGTTATTAGACAAGTGCGTATTATATCTACACTGAATAAATCCTTGACACGAAATCTTTAAGTTTTATATGTAACTTTTCAATATTAAATGGATCAGAATCTTTAAAATAAAATGAAATGAATCAAAATGTTAATAATTTTGTTAACGTTGTTTAGGTATTTTATCATTACATTTTTTCAGACCCATCATAACTTCATCACCATCATTATTTCAGCCTGGCCTACTGACATGATAGGCCTACAGACATGATATAAATATAAATATATTAAAGCGCCCTAAATGATATGACAGCAAGCCGAACCGAAAATGTCAATGGACGGCGATTATCACTTAACATCAGGTGAACCACCAGCTCGTTTGCCACCGAATCACACCAAAAAAACAATGTTTTTAGGTGTCAGGACCTACAGCCCGGCAGTTTTCAGTTATAGGGCGTAATGTCAATGATACATTCTTCTTCTTCTTTCTCCCGCCCTTATCCCACACTAGTTGGGGTCGACACAACATGTCATTTCCTTCTACTTTTCTCTATCAGCCGACACCTTAATACTTATCCCTTTCACCGACATATCATTCTTCACACAGTCCATCCAGAAACGGATACATTGTTTGTGTTATTAATTTTATTAATCTAAAGGTATGGAAACATTTAGAATAATTAATATTTCCCGCCCATATTTGTTAGAATGTTCAAAATGTTTATCTAAGGAGCCAGTCGATGCACAATCGACTCATAAATTCCTCATATAATAAAAACTCAGTCATTTAACTGATCGAACTTTAGCCATGAAAGTCCGATATCAATCTTCGGGTTCCGTGCGGCCAGGTTCGACCGGGTTCGGCCTCTAATCTCGTACCAATAACTTATCTATCTCCATTCATAAATAGCGGACGAGTAAATATATAGAAGCGCGATAAAATCGTACGACAGACCTCCTTCAGCTGCGGGCTCGTAAAAAGAAGTTTCCCCATTATTCTCGTGTTGACCGCCCGATAAGGGTGCGAACGGCAAAAGTAATCGATGCTGATTTCGTTTTGATTCGTCCGCGACGCGATAATAGCTGTTTCATGAGTTGATGAGTGCCCGCCGCTGTCGTAGTGGATGTGGATTTTGGCGGATTCGCAATAAAGCCCACACGGTTGTGTTGTCTTTTACTTGTCACGAAGCGAAACGATTTATCGGCGAATTATTTATTAGTTGCCCAGGACATGAAAAGAATTTCTGGCTGAACTGTGTGTAGAATAAACTGCCTTAAGCTTTTTGTGTGAACGACACGTGACGACAAGAATTGGCGGAAATGTAACAGTTCCCTTAAACTTATGGAACAAATAAATGAAGTGTTCTTTTAAGTTTCGAGTAAGTATATTGTCTTATAACATTTTTAGAAATAAAGTTATATTTTCTTTAAGTTTTGATTTAATGCTGGGGTAATGATCCAACTATTTATTTGACGTAACATTAATGAACTGAGCAGAAGCAATGAATAGAGCCTTAATGAACTGTATAAATACGAATTTAAATAGTAATGTATAGTTATTGTTTAATTTAATGAATATAATATATTATAATTTAATAACTTTTTGATAATTTGTAGATACCAGTTATTAAAAGTTAGGAGATATTTCAATTGCCAAAGCATCTAAGTCGCTCTTTTCAATGCATGCTGTAACCTTCGTATAGGCTCTCAAAAAAGAAAAATAATAAGTATAAAACAAATTGAATAAAAAAATTAAAGAAAATAAATGATTACACTATATTACAAACAAAGAAAAAGATTATGGTAAAAATAAATAAAACAAAAGGAAATAAAATTTTATAATATGTATATTTCAATTGTTCATTAGATAATTATTTCTTTTTCTATTTACAAACATCATATACAAATATCAATAATCTACTACTATAACTATTTACAGTCGCTTCATGAAAACTTTTTTTAATGATTTTAAACTAAACATAAATGCATTTATACATATAATTTAAAAAGTTTTTAACTTTGGCATTTTATAATTGAAGCGATCCAATTAAAAACTATAATAATTAATCTTGCACTGTATTTACAAAGGTCCATATATTTCATAACCTAAAATTATTATCGCAGAAATTAGGAATCGAATCCATCATAACTTAAACAAAAAATTGGCACCCTAATGTACAAATAAATGCATTCTTATATTAGAAATAATAATGTACACAATAAATAAAGTAGTCTGTACAGCAACTAAACATATTATCACTTTTCGTTGGACTAATAAACGCTTAGGCATTAAGGACGTTCGTACCTGCGTTGAAGTATACGCTACGCCCAGAGGTGCGCGTGCGTCGGCATTCGGTGGGTGTGGGTGTCGCGTGCGTGGACGCTTGCCGGCATCGCCAGGCCTTCGCCGAGCAGGGGAGGAAGCTTGCCCGGTGGCGGGGGAGGGGGCGGGGCCGGCGCCCGCCCAGCGCCCACGGGCGACACCGACGCGTAAATATTTACAGTGGAACGATGATATTGGCACTTCCGCAAGTCCGGCATCGCGAACCTCAGCTTCTGCCAGAACTGTCTATCACCCCACTCTATGCACGTGTTGGCTTTCAAGCACAGCCTAAGCTCCGGATCAATGTCTCTGTTCGGCAGCTCGCCGAGGAGTATTATTATCAGTCTTCTACGCCTCTCTTTTAATACTTCGTGCAGCGCCGTTTTGAATTCGAACCGGCACCACTCGTTGTTGATAAAGTTCTTCGATAGCACTATTATGGTTCTTTTGGACGACTCCACCGCCTCTATTATCGTGTCCGCTACGTAAGCGGAGGCATTAAAGTCGCGGTAATGTAGACAGAGCCGGAAGCTCGGGTCGGTTGATTCCAGGCCGGGCGCTAGCATTTGAGCGACAAACGCCTCGTCTTTCACGCTGTAACTGATGTAAGCGTCAAATAGACGATCCTTGTCGGCCTCCTCGTCAAATGCGGTGCTTTTATAACACATTCTAAATCCGCAGTGATAGTATACCCAAACACGAAGTTCACGGCGCCAATAAAACAGTCCGCATATTAGCGCAGAGCTTAAGACGAATACGCAGAGGGATATCAACAACAGCGGAAGATAATCATTTATAACCTGGTTCTCGATGATCGAAGAGCTCCCACCAACGTGACTCGTACAAATCGTAGAATTGAAATCAGCCATAAGCGGCCCAATAGCGTTCGTCACGTTATCAAAGATGCATGTAATTCTATTTGCGTCTTCAACTTTACCCAAATTGCTTCTAAACCAATTTCTGAATTTGTGCATATATTGACAATCGCATGACCAAGCGTTGCGTGATAAACTGATTTCAACCAAATATGGATTCATAGTGAATTGCCAAACTGCAAAGCTGTAAATTTTATTTCCTTCCAATCGTAATACTTCCAAATGCCTCAATTCCATAAAGGTTCGATTGTCAATGTAATGTATTTTATTGTCCTGCAGATGCAATTCTCGCAAATTCTCTAGAGGGGTCAGTTCGAAACCGAGCAACTCTTTTATATTGTTCTTTTCTAAATGCAGCACCGTTAAACGTTTTAGCCCACTAAATGTATTGTTGTACAAAGCATCGATGTTGGAATTATTTGCGTACAATATTTTTAAGTTCTTACGTCCGATAAATGCATGGCTCGTTAATCCACCGAAATTATTACCGTCCAAATACAGTTCGGTGGCGTCCATAGGTATACTGTTGGGTATCTCGGCATATCCAGCAGCCGAACAGTCTACGATATTCGCCGACCACGGCTGATCGTGGTAACACGTGCAGTTCGATGGGCACGTCATTTCACAATCACAAGCGTCAAAGTCACAACAATGGCACAGCGTAAAACAGTGAGTCTTATATGTACACAAAAATTGAGAAGATTCAGCTTCGATAAGTGGAATATAAGTCCTTTCCCGATTATATAGTAATTTGCAATATATACTCTCCAAGTCCATTACCCTAGGGTGCTGCCTAAGGTGATCGAGTTTGTTGATTCGCTGTAGCCATTCCATTGTACAATCGCACTGAAAAGGATTTCCGCCAATATAAAATTCGGGCAGGGGCCGCCCTGGATCGACCGGCGTTAGCCGTAGCGCATTGAGATCCATACTAGTTATCTGATTTGCATACAAATCGACTCTCGTTAAATTGGTTTTTCCGACAAAAGTTTGAGCTTCAACTTGCGTAATTTGATTATCATTTAGAAACAGCAGCTCAACGCTACTAGGTATAGAGTAGGCAGATATCTTATTCATTTTATTGAAGCTCGCGTCCAAAGTTTGTAATCGGAGCTCTTTGTCCAAGCGGTAGTTATTTCCCAATTCTTTGATGTTGTTACTGTGAAGATCTAACCACTGAAGAGCCGTAGGTATAACGGAGTAATCAAACCATTCTATTTGGTTATCTGACACGTTTAGCCACAACAGAGAAGGTATATTTACAAACAACCCTTGAATGTCTGTAAGTTGGTTTGCGTCTAGTCTAATAGCTTGTAAATTAGTTAAAGTTTCAAAGGCATTTGTGTCGATGTGTTTTAGTTTATTACGAGCCAAATTTAAAATTTGCAACGTTGGCAAATCCGAAAATACATCTTTGCTGATATTTTCTATTTTATTTCCAATTAGTCGTAACCCGTAAACATTGTGTAAGCCAACAAAACTATGTTCTTCTAAAGAGGTTAATTGATTTTCTCCTAGATCAAGCGTTCTCAGCAATCGCATATTTCTTAATGCAATCGGCACTTTCCTCAAACGATTTCCATTTAAATTCAAATCTTGTAGCGACGAGGTATTACGGAATGCCTCAGGATGAAGCTCTTCAAGATGATTATTGTCAATTGATAGTAACGACAACACGTATAATCCGTTTAGTGCATAAGCATCAATAGTTGAAATTTTGTTATAAGACAAAATCAATGTGTGCAGATTATTCATAGGTGCAAAGGTGTCCGCAGCAACACTTTCTAACATATTATGTTGAATATTTAGTATTTGTAATGTATAAAGATCTTTAAAAATTTTTGGATCTAACCTCGTTAGCCTATTATTAGATAAGTTTAACAATACCATCCTTATTAAACCAGTGAATGAGTTCTCATTTATCCATGTACTTGTCAAATGGTTATTCGATAAATCCAGCGCTAACAATTGATCTAAGTTAGCAAAAAGACTGGGTGAAAGCACACTTATAGAATTATTTTGTAAGTATATTTCTTTTATGCCGGGCCTACAATCTTTGAACAAATCTTGTGGCAGAGCTACGATTTTATTGTTGGAGAGATCAATAATTTGTAATTGTTTCAATCCAGATAAAGCTTTGTCGGCGACCATTGAAATTTCATTATCATGAACGTGTAATTCTTTCAACCTTCGAAGAGCCATAAATCCGTTTTCTGGCATTAACACAAAATGGTTACTAGAGGCATCTAGGACTTCTATATCTAGGGAACATGAAGCACGTGACAAGGACGACGCAGAAGGTAATGGTCCTTCTTGATCACTGATAAGGGCTTGATGCATTGCTCTTTCTCGAAAACCGAGATCACTGACATCTTGAAGTCTATTTGATGAAACGTTCAAGTAAACTAAATTGGAGAGTGGGCAAAACAAATTCTCAGGAAATGACCAAATGTTATTAAAACTAAGATCCAACTTTTCCAACTGTCGAACGGCTGCAAAGCTTTCCGATGCTATCTCTAAGCTCATAGCAGCCCACTCGGTGTTTTTGGTGCGGATCGTTAAATTTCGGAGATCTCTTAGACCGGACAGCACGCCAGGGGGCCATCTTCCAATTTTACAGTTATCCAAAACAAGTTCACGTAACTTCACTAAGTGAGAAAAACTTCTGTCATCCAGTGAACTCTTATACATCATTTCTTCGTTGCACTCTATCCTTAGTGAGGTGGTGTGCTCTGATGGAATGACACTGAAGTTGGTCGTATCGAACTCGCTATTTATCGTGCGAAGTTTACAAGTTAGAGAAACTTCGTGTGCATCGTTTGGTCCCCTTAGCCACCACTGACAATCATCTGGAGCTTCATATTTCAATGGCAGTGAACTCTGATCGGCAACGTTGAACCCGATTACCACCCAAAATAAAATTTGGCCAAAAAGCCTGTTTCTTGTAGATACTTGCTGAAGAGACATTTTGATAAAAATCAAATATCAAGGAAGAAGAAAAACAAGACACAGTAGGCTCAGTGTCATGTTTTTTCCGTCGGCATTCGTGTGTTGCGTCCCCCTGCCGGATGTGTAGTATCCATCAATTTAGAAGACTTATTTTGGCCGTCGATTCATTAAATAGTCCTTGATACATTTATACACATGATATATCCATCAGGCACAGTTGATGTTTTAGTCTTTGATTAAAAGAAATTTCTGTCACTGAACAAAACACTTTTTGATTAAAGTTTTAGTAGCACAACAGTCCCGGGAAACAAATCAATTTCGATCGCAATACTCGTAACTTTCTATTTTTCTTAGATTTTATAAGTCCTTTAATTTGGCACTAAATGCGTGTTGATAAACGCGTCTTTACTGTATCGTTCGCCCGTTCAGAGCGTCGAGTGGCACGGCCGCCCCTCGTCGCTGCCGCAAGTAAACTGAATACTGGCGGAGGCATTGCAGTCGTGTTGAATACACGCTTAGTCGTTCCAACGTAGGCAAGGGGCGCGGGGTGAGATGAGCCGAGCGATGGCGAATGCTCACGACGACTTATTACAATAAATTATTTTTTACGGAGCTTTAAAAGATCTCCGAAAGCCCGAAACAGCAAACGCATTTACGCTCTGCTTTAAGCTCTGAAGGAACGTAGACGTCGACGGCTAGGTCACATAAATAAAAATCGTGTTCCGGTTGACTCTAAATTTATAATTTTTTATTTAACACACTTTAACAATAAGTAACTATTCAATACGATATTTATATCTATATCTTATTTTCATTCATAATGTTTATTTTAGATATGCAATATATATCTATATGTTTATTTTTTATCTATAAATTCAACCAGACGAGTAAACAACTGAATATCCCCACAAATAGTAACTTAACATCAATATTAAATTCCTAGTTCTGTTAAAATATAAAATTTTGTATAATAAACATTGAAAACCTAATTGGCTCTGTAACATTGAGTTTAAGGTTTATTTATATCAGTTGTTTTAGTAAGTATGTAACATAAAGTTTCGGATCTTAGGGACATTATAAACAAAAGACAAAGTAAAGTAATTAAAATCTTTTAGGACCGAACATTTTAGAGTTACCTGTTTTAGTAAAGTAGTTTTTTTCCGTTATGTATTATTTCCATTTTGAACTTATTGTTATGTATTGATTTTAAATCTCGGTTTTGGCGCCAATAGAATTTGGGATAGACTCTTTAAAGTTTGATTTGGTATGTAATGGGTCAATGTGAAAATCGTGGTGGTTTTTTGTTCTTTACGTAATTATAAACATTACGGGCTAGTATCATTGGGATAAAAAAGTAAAGACTTTTAAGTAGGTAAATAAATTAAATATTTTCATATTACTACTTAAAGTGAAAAACATGATATATTACATCAATCGGTATAAAAATATAATGCAATTGGTACAATCGGTATAAAAATTGTAATTTTTTTGATGTTCATTTCCTATATAATTTTGTCTATAGATAGTACATAAGAATATTTAAACTGAGTTTAAATCCCGGTGCCAGCACCAATTTGATTATTGCAATTTTAAGTGCTGTCTTATCGTTGCATAACGGTGAAGAAAAAAATTGCGAGAAAACTTGCTTATAACAAAGCAATATCCCTATTTTTGAAATAGTAACAAAAATATAGCTCTAAGTATCATCTTCTAAGTATCAAAGCTTTGGCAAACCTACATATAGCTGACAGCATCATGGGACGCTCATCTAAGACGATCACTGTTAATATTTTATAAGTTTACGTAAAAGAAGCAAGTAACTATTCATTTACTCAAGGCAGTGA